GTTTGAAAGAGCTGAGGAGAGCATGAAAGGGCACCTCCAGGACATGCAGGTACGTTGGGCGCCTTGGGGACCTCCCTCCAGCCATGGTCAGTGCTTGTGGGTAGGGGACAATGGTCCAAAAAGGATCTTGTGAACGCGTGTGATAACGGGAGGGAATTTCCTTGGGAGATGTTGGCTTCAGCAGGTTCTCCGGCATGGTTTTTTTGGCAGCAGAGCCGCCTCCAGAAGCACAGAGGTGTTTAACACCATTTATCCATTGCACATCACCACTAGGGACCAAGTTGAGCTCGAGGCACCAATGTGTAGACGCTCCTGTACTGGAGGGGCTGCCTGCAGACTTGTAACTGGTCTAGCAGTTACCTGTAACTGGTAACCACCTCACTCCTCTCCCCACATGAACCACAGTTTGGGTGAAGGGGCTTCGAGGAGCTCAAAGCTGCCGCCTCCACCCCCCGGAGCCCATCAGCCCCAGTGGGCTCTCGTGGCTCATTTTACCAGAGAGGCTGTGCTCTGAAAAGCTGTATGGAAATCCTTAATCCTTATCAAAATATCGAGCTGGGCTCTCCTTCTTGTGCACCAGCACCCGCAGCAACGAATTGGCTGGATGGAGGTGGGGGGTGGCTGTCCCTGAGCTTTCCCCGTCCAGGGTCCCCACGGGCACTGGAGGGACTGGGGGGCTTCAGCCCTGTCCCCTGCTCATGTGCTTGGCTGCCTGGCGCTTGCAGAAGCAGATCCCCAGGAAGCTGGAGGAGGACTTTTCCAGCGCTCTCGGCTTGGTCTTTTGCCCGTGGGACCAGCTGGACGGCAAGCTGCCAGGTATGGCCGCGAGCACGGCTTTGGGGCTGTTCGTGCAGGTCCTGCACTCCTTCCTCCCCGTTTTGGGGGCACGAGAGGGTCCAGATGCCCAGGCCGCTCTAACAGGCTCCTCTGTTTTGCAGACTTGCAGAGAGAATTTTTCACCATCAGCAACATTCACAAGGCCCTGCAATCAGCCAAAGTCGCTTAGAGAGCCGCGGGAATTGTCTCCGACGATGTGGTTTTATTATTCACGTTGGTGCCTTGTTCTTGTAATAAATGGCTCAGTCCCAAATAGGGTTTCAATCAAAGTTTACAATTTATTAAGGAAATAGAGGTAAGCAAACAACACTGGGTGTGCCGGGAGTCTCCGCTCCACCAAGACGCACACCAGTTACATCAAGCAGCTGGTTTTATGCTCCTAGGCTGATACATATTCATTACTACTTCTAAAAAAACAGGGTTATTATAATTAGTTTCCAAATCCAAACCCTCCTACTAGAGCACGCATATCAGTCTCCAGTGGTCCCTCTGGGGGTCTCTGGGGGTCTCTCATGCTGAAGGCTCATAGTCTTCCTCCCTCTTGTCCTTCTCCTTTGTCCAACTTGGCTGGATGTCAGAGACTTGTGCAGCGTCCCCTGCAACCTTTGTCTTTTAGTCGTCCTTCAGCTTTCCCCTTCTCCTTAATCTCCTGGGCAGATATCAGAGACTTGCACAGTGTCCCCTGCAACAGTCCCAATAGTTAGCAGTTATTCTGAACCCCCTTTGTTCTTATCCCCTATTGACACGAATTGCTGGACCATTCCTTTGCAAGCTACAAGAACTCTATACATTAACCACTCTGTTCTTCTTAGACCTGTGGTTATACAAGGGTATGGAAGACAGAAATCACATTTCATCATACCCCAGCATTGTTCCATACGGACACGAATCAGATGAACACATTTCACATTCTCTTTACTCCGTGGCTTCATGGGGAATCTCCTCTGGTGCTTTTTTTCCTCTTATAAAAGCATTTCTGAGATATTTTGTATGCGTTTGATGGTGCTATTTAAGTAAGAGACCCGGGCAGTGCCCCTGCCCTGCATGCTGTGCCATGTTCCGCACCCGAGGGGGCTCCAGCTCTGACTCCTCGTGGTGCTGGCAGCCCGGACCATGGAAGTGATGCTCTCCTGGGAAAGCAGGACCACGGTGCCTGTGTCTGTGCTGAGGTTCTTGAGGTTTCACTGGCTGCTGTGCCTCTGGGCCCCTTCGTGCACGTGGAGATACGTGTGTGTGTTTCACTCCGCCACCCGGTGTGCCTACACCCCAAACGAAGCCCGATTGTACCAACGAGGCTTATATCTCTTCTGATATTTTGCTAATACCATAAAATTGTTCAGAACAGACTTGTGCATACTTAGTGTGCTCCTACCAAAGCCATGCCTGGGCTAGAAAAGCCATGCCACAGGTTGCCCAGAGAAGGTGTGGGTGCCCCATCCCTGGAGGTGTTCAAGGCCAGGCTGGATGGGGCTTTGGGCAACCCAATCTGGTGGGTGGTGTCCCTGCCCTTAGATGATCGTCGAGGTCCTTTCCATCCCAAGCCATTCCGTGAGAAGCAGCAGGGAGAGCTGGGCTCCTTCAGCTGGAGGCTCTGCCACCACTTCAGGGGGCTCAGCGGGAGGACAGAGCCCTATCTCCTCCGAGATCTCCAAGGAAGGACCAGGGCTGGTTCCAAACTCCAACCAGAAATAAAAGAAACCCTTCCCATGAGAGTCATAGAATCATCAGATTGTAGAATAGCTTGGGTTGGCAGGGACCTTGAAGCCCCTCCAGTGCCACCCGTGCCATGGCAGGGACCCGTGCCCCCAGCCCAGGCTGCCCCCAGCCCCATCCAGCCTGGCCTTGGGCACCCCCAGGGATGGGGCACCCCCAGCTCCTGGGGCAGCCTGAAACTGGAAGGATTTCCTCCTAATGCCTCACCTGAACCTTCCCTCTCTGAGCTTAAAGCCGTCACTCCTCGTCATATCAGACAATTTCCTTCCTCAGCCCCTGTTAACCATGACACATGCTACACACACCACAGACAGAAAAAAGCAAAAGACAGATGAAGGCGAGAAGAAAAAATTCCCTGAGTCACAGCAGTCGGTGAGACATCAAACCCCAGGCACTGTTTGCAGGAAAGCTGCGCCTTGCGGTGGGGTCATGTGTGAACCAGGGCACCCAGAAAGGGAAGGTGCAGAAACTGCCGAGCTCTGCAGGAGGAACAAAGCCAGGATGGGCAGAAAAGGGTAGAAAAAATGTAAAAATGGGGCTGGTTAGCATGTGGTGTGGGGGCAGGACGAAGGGTGACGGCCACAAAATGGAGCCCAGGCAGTTCCGCACCAACAGAAAGATTTTGTTCACGGTGTTAGCAAAGCTTTTGGGGAGCATTTAGTAGTGAGGACAGCGTTTTTATGGCGCCGGAGCCTAGGAAAAGCTCACAGGAGATGGAGAGATCTGGATACAAAAGCAAAGACAGGAAAAATCTGTGCAAAAGCCTTTGTGGAAAGCCCTCGCCGGGAGCTTTCTGCTTCTAGCTTTAAGGCCTGGAGGCGGCAGGATGAGGCCACGGGCACTGCTGCACTGTGACACCGGGCTCTGTCATCTGCCAGCCGAGGAGCCCTGGGGCTGCTTGCAGGCTGGGACGGGCCGGGTGAGCCACCCGACTCCAGGAAAAGGAGCAAAAAAATGCTTCAGGGTACAAGGGTGTGAGCAGGGGGACGGTCACGGAGACGTGACCCATGCAGAGAGGAGCCGGGGGCATGAGGAAGCTGGCGGGGGCCAAAGAGGAAGAGCATGGTAGGGGCAGGACATGTGCAGCAGCTTTCATTTCACCATTTATACGCAGCAGCAGGAGGAAGCCAAAGCATCAAGCTCTGTCTTGTGATTTATTTTTTTTTATTTTTATTTTTTTTCTGGGAGAAACGTTAGCTTTCCAATAGCTCTGTAGACGAGCCCGTGGCTGCTTCCTCCCTGCCCAAACACAGCCAGATTTCGGCAGTTTTCCCGGAGCACAGGTGAGAAAAGCTGCCTGCAGTGGATGCTGGCCGTGTCCGCCCCTGGGTGCTGGCCGTGCACGGTGCCAGCTGGAGTTGGTCTCAATTAGTCTGATTGGGGTCGCAATAGTCACGGAGGCAAACGCTGGGGGCGAAGCAGGGGCTGCGGGTTGGTGGGGCACTGGCGGTGAGGGTAGGATGTGATAAATGACCTTGCTGGGACAGCTGGCTGCCTGCTGCGGGTCGCACATCGGCGGGTTGATGATTAACCTGCCCCAACGCCGCAGACGAGCACGTGGGGTTTCTTCTTCGAAACCCAGGGCGACCTCTGCACAAGCAAATTGATAAGTGCCCCGGCTGGGCACTGCTTTGATTGCTCGCAGCAGGATGCTGTGCCCAGGAACGGCACGGGGCAGGAGGGTTTGGAGCAGGTCTGGCCAGACAGCAGCCCCGGGCAGCTTTAATCCAGCCCGTTTTTAATTTTAATTTCTGCGGTCCGATGGCAAGGAGGCACCTGGGGAGCGTCTTTCGGGGTGGTGGCAGTGCTGCAAAGCCCTCGTGCAGGGTGTGAGCAGGTGCTGGGCCAGCCCCGAGCTGTTTTGGCAGGGCAGTGCGCATCAAGAAGCGGCACATGCCAGCACCAGCCACTACCCTGGGTCGTGCAGGGGCGTGGGTGGCACGAAGCAGGCTGCAAACTTCAAAACTGTTTCCTTTTTACTTCCCTAAGTAGTCCTTGGAGTACAGAAGTGGTCGTAGCCAGGTCAGCTTGCTCGTGGAAAGCAGGAGCGACGGGGCACTGAGGCAGAGTTTGGCCGAGATTGACATGGCAACGCGTCGTGGTGAGCCGCTGTCCCTGCCTTCCCCTCCGCTCCTGCAGGCTTCTGCTGCCCTTCCCTCCCCAGTCCCAGCAGCTCGCACCGACCCGGCTTGCTTTCACTTGCTGAGGGTAAAGATTTGCGTCTTTAGCTGGATGCCAGGGCCCAGGAAGCCGCAGTTTCTCTTTGAAGCGCGTTCCCTGCTCATCACAGGGGAGCAGGGCGGTGCAAAGGCGTCTCCACCCAAACGTAGTTCATTTTGGGGAGCGGTGTGGCAATGCTTCTTGCAAAACCTGAAGCTTGATACTAGAAAAAAAAACAGAAAAAAAAAAAAAAAAAAAACAGCAGGAGTCAGAAACAAAAATGCCCTCAAGGCTCCCGACAGCATTCCTGCACGAAAACCTCAAGCTGTTTTCACTGATTTTTACAAACGTAGGGCCAGTTCTGCAGGTTTTCTGCATAGCGCAAGGTGTAAAGCCTCCTAGGTGCCTGTTGCTGCTGGGGGCAGAGATTCACATCCCTGCTGGGGCTGTGCGGAGAAAGCCGGTTAGGAAAAGATGCCCGAGGGGAAGGATTTGGGTTCCCACGCGCAGACACCACGTGTGAAGATCTCCTCTGGCCAGCAGCATTGATGACCCCGGGACACAGAGTTTTGGCAGCTGCTCGCCCTGGCAGGGATGTCTGAAGCAGGGGAGGTGGTCACCGCCCAGATTTTAGGGTTTGGGTTTGTTCGGGTAATGATCGGGTGGCCAAACCTGCAGCTGGGTGATCCGACCTTCACCCTCATGCGCCACAGCACCCCGAATTCAGGCTGCAAGGGCTGATTCCTCTCGGTGTCAGGAATAGGTGAGGCTGTTTGCTCTGAGGCTTTGACACCTGGGGAGGCTGCGGTGCTAATAATACTGATGTCCTTTCCCTGTGAAAAGGTGCAGAGAACGATGCAGCTGAGGTCCCCCAGAGGCGACCGCGACTGCCGGATGCTTTCCAGCAGGAGGAAAGGGAGACGCTCAGGAAATGTGAGTAGGGGAAGCCACCTGCCTGGTGGCACCAGAGCCATGCCTAAAACGCAGCGAGGTCTGGAGAGGGACCTGTGGTGGAAGGAGAGGCACGAGCAGGCTGCAGCTGCTCTGAGCATTGCCACGGAGGACCCACTCCCCAGACTCCCCAGGAGCAACCTCGGTGCTGCCCGAGGAGCCAGAGCACCCCAAAATGCTCCCCTCTGCCAGCAGCAACTCCTTCTCGTTGCTTGGCACTGGGCACCTTCCCCATTGAACTGCGTTTGGTAGAAATAACGGGCGTTTTGTAAATCATCCCAGCTCCCAGGGGTGCCAGCCTCCGCCTGAGGCTCCCCGTGGGCTGCTGGGGCTGCTTCCTTTGGAGACCTCCTCCTACAGCCTGACCGTGCGCCGCCTCTCCCTTCCAGACGAGAAGATGGAGGAGAGGGTCAGAAAAATCCTGACCGC